CTAGAAACATTTACCAGTATTTACACAACAAAACATTTCAGAAATGCACTGTCCCTAATATGTTGAGTGTTTTTTTTTTCCAGTTGTGAGCAAAATAATCTTCATTGAGATAGCATGCTAATAGGTTGTGTAAAGAAGAAGTCAGAAAGCAGCTAAAAAAGAATACAAGGGCAACAGAGCTTTAGAAGTGAGAACACAGATTCCAGGACTTAAGAAAATATCAAATACAAAGCAGATCATAACATCTTATAACTGACCTTGAGCAAAGCCATTCTGTAGATAGATGAAGTACAACAAAAACTCAGACTTACTTTGGGGGAACAGGCTGTGCACTTATCAAATGCCAAACTGACTGGAAGAACATTATCAAATCTTGATAAAAAACCACGGATCTGGAAGGTGAAAAAATTATAACTATATAAAACAGGTTTCCAAAATGTTGCAAGTTGGACATAAATATTCAGTAAAAAGATGATACCTATAATTAGGGTAATACAGTTTAATACAGTGATGATCACCACTAAGAGCTGTATTAAATTTATACCTGCATATATTACACTTCTTTCTATACACAAATAAAGATACAACTATCTGAGCCCCAGATTATTTAAAAATAGAGGCACAGCACCACCTGGCGTTTGAGCTATCAGACTGCAAAACTAACGAGTTGTGTAAGAAGTTAAATGCATCATTTTCAGATTACATGTTAGAGGTGGAAAAAACTAACTGCTGTTCATTCCTAGATTTTGCCATTGATACAACACCACTAACATGTAATTTTAAAATTCTAGACCAACAGTATTTGCAGAACTACACCCTATGTCCACTGTAACAAGCAAAAACAAAAAACTCCATGGGTGTGAGGAGACAGAGCCCTGGAGAGGCTCCAATTAACAGAAAGGACCAAGAGCGAACCTCAAGGACCTCACTTCATATGATGATCCCCATGTTACTGCTTACTACACAACACTATAAGAAAACAAAAACAGACTAGCTTTAGACTTATTTCTGTGATTACTTGGAGATGACAAAAAAAACACAGCAGCAGTTTTAGTTTTTTCTGAATCAAAATTCATCTTGAACACACAAAAAGCTAACAGAATTCCAAAATTCCACTTAAGAATAGAAATTTGTTTTTTTTTTTTAAACGCAAACAGAGACACTTAAATAAGCAACATAAAGCAAGAGGTGTGTAGAACTCTAAATACCCAGTGATACATTCCAAGATATACGATTACATCGATAAGTTCGGTAGACAGCTTTTTAGAAGACCCTGTCAATACAACTAAAGACAACAGACTACCCAGCAATGTGAAAAATGGTATCCTAAACACAAATTTGTAGCTGGAGTTTGGGATGAGTAGAACATCATAAAGACTTCTGTACTACACCAGAAAATCATGAGTATTTTAGAGAACTGTAACAGTTATGAGTTGGTTGGATCTGATTTTTTTAAATCTGTACTGGGGTTGAAAAAGAGAATAAGAGCAACATTGAGATGCTCATTCTTAGCTCTGATGAGGAAAAAGCAGAGGTTGCAATATTTTCATGCTGCCTGTTAGTGGCTCTATCTCCAAATAAATTCCTGGTAAGTGGCAGCATTGGGATAGAAGCACTGGCAGCAACACTATAACCTTGTCTTGTATTATTCTTAATTATTTTTAATCCAAATATGTAGACTCAGTCCCTTCTGGGAATTGAAGCAGATCAACATACAGTACATTTTAAGGAGGCAAGTTGTGATGTGTGTCTTACATCAGTACCAAGATTTTAACTGAAATCATTTCCTCACAGATTTCTTACCTGATGAGGAACAAGTCCAAGAGAAGTAGGTGGCTCATTCATTCTATCATCACTACTGCTGGCCACAGCATAACCACTGACAAAAATCCAAGAAGGAAAATTAGAACAAGACAACATACTGAACAGTCAAAGTTTCCAGTAAGCTACAAGGCATTTCATTGCAGCTTGCAGTTTAGAATCTGGAAAGTAAGCTATCTGGAAAGTTTGCTTCATAGTAACTAAGCTCCGGCATGGGAATACAAAAGTCTTCAGAACCAGTCACAGACTTGTAAGTTGCTTGCATTCAAATCCTAGTTTACTTCCTCTTTAAAGATAGAAAACAAACCTAAATTTCAGATTAGAAAATTCCAGAGACATTTGTGTATCACATCCACTTAGTTTTAATTAGGATTTTGAAGTATTTAGCTTATCTTAATGCCTTTCTTGTGACAAAAGTAGTTATGACAGCTCATCATTACACTCAAATGCTCTCTTGAGTAAAGGATCTATTCACAGAAAACACTATTTCTTTTGAAATTCAGTAAATTGATACTTTTAAAGACAGAAAAAAAAACTTGCCAATCTCCAAGACAAAACTTTCATTTGATCATTCAGTTCTCTCTTCAATATTGTTACACTACAGTAAAACATTATACATGATCCATACATTACATTAATTTATAGGCAACGTAATGCATTACAGAACTCCCCTACTTAATGCATACCCCCTCCTCCTTCTCCCAAAAGATTATATAAAATAACTGATTTCTCAGGGAACATCTCTTAAACACCACTCCTCTCTGAAATGACTCACCCTTCTGGATGCTGTAAAACAGAAACCATTAATTCCACTGCAAGAGCTCCGGCTATCATGGCTAATCCAGGTCGACTGACTGTACACTGCTGATCCAATGTTCGATCCCTGGTAGACTAGAAAGATAGATAATTTAAAAAAGTAACAAAAGTAATTTAGCTCTTCTTCTAAACAATATATCTTTAGTAATTTGCAATTCATTTCATTTTTTTTTCATCTTCCAAGTAAAAGATGAACTATTTCTTAATCCTGTGCATACTACTATAAGAGGAATCCCTGATGAAATACCATTTAAAGGAAATTAAAAAATTCAACAAAAAAGATACATAATGGCCACCATTTGCATAACACTCTACTCACATCCCCTGGTGCCACGACATCATTGCAGAAATAGCAGCCCAGTTTGTAGCCAGGGATATTTGAAAAGAGCGATGAACCCAAAAGGTCAGAAGGACCAGGGGCAGTGCTGAAACATGCATTGCCAGTTTCTTGCTGTTTGGGTTTCTTCAGTCCATGTCTCATAACAACAAACGTGTCAAACCCCAGGGCAGCATTGATGACCAGCTATGAACAATAAAGAGAACAGCAAACCTGAAGTGAGCCAAAAGGGGAGGGGAAAAAGACCTCATGGTTTTATTCACTGTAAATACCAAACAGAAAAGCCCACACAATCTTTAGTCAGATGAATAACCTAAGAACTACCTATTTATCATCCTAGCCGTAACAAAACCCAGATTTTCTGATATGTGCCAAATCCCAGTTATCAAGCATTAGAAGAACACAAAAGTGTTTCAGAAGTCCTTAAGACATCCTTTTCCTCTGCCTTTCAGGGAAATTTGATACAAACGACTTTCTTTGTTGCACAAATGTAGGCACACCTGTAGACAACACGAACACATTTGCATTTGAAGACAACTTCAAACCAATACACAGCATCTCATTTAAGCGACCGATATTGCTAAGCACTGATTTGAATCAACATCCCCGTATTTATATTTGGCCTAATATTCATACAGTAATTAGTACTGCTATTGGAATAACTAGTTCCAGCTCAGAGTTTACACTTAAGTTTGCTGCATATTCTGTACCAAACATTGAAGCTCTGAGCGTTAAAATACTCCAAATGCCACTTAAATGCAACAGTGCTGATCAAGAATAACTTTTCATGTACTTTGAGATACTGTAAATAATCTGTTCGCTTCATTGTGGTCTGAAATAACTCCTATGTGACAAAGCAACACATCTGCTATCCAAAAAAATCTTCGCTCAGTGAGGAAAGCATGTGATTAATACTTATGGTCTTCATATGTATCTGTTTAGTCACCTGGGGAGTAAAAGCAGCTATGATACAAAATTACTTTGTCATCATTTTCCCTTCTCTCTTCAGTATGACAAGTGTTGAGAGTAATCTAAAGTTCTTTATGAAAAATAAGCAGATACTGAGAAAGTTCTGTTGTGACCAGAATATCATAAAGTCATCCTTAAACTAGTAGATTTTACCAACATACAATGGAAAAAAAAACAGAAATAATGACTCTAGCAAGTAAAATATAAAAGATACTACATTGCTTAACATGCAGATATTTTCAGATACAAAATTCTAGAGTAACACTTCATCGTTCCTCTCTCTTACAAACAGGATTTTATAAGGCAGACTTTGAGGAAGCTCTCAAGAATTAGCCATGTTAACTTGTTAATTTTTATGATCTTTTTCAGTATTCCAAATAATTTCTGAATATCCATTTTTGTTCTGATTGTACTTTATTCTTTTCTCAGCCAAATCTTCTCACTGCAATACTGGAAGTATTGGCTCAGCACAACAGTTTATTTTCCAATAAAGCAATGACAAAAAAAACAAAGTTAACTTTTGACCAAAAAAAAAAAAACCAAAAAACCACCACTGACATGCTTTTTAAATTCAGAAAGCACTTTCCCATTCTTCATTTTTGGGATTTTGAAAAAGTGGCATTTGAATGTTTTCAGTCCTCCTTACTTGCCTTAGTTTCACCAACATTTATAGTCGCTTGCTAAGCAACGCTGCGCAGAGTCAAGGCCATTCTTAGAATGAGGACAGCTGACTTCAACAGGCCAAAGGAATTCTCCATGCCTTATTATATCACATGGAAAGAGTTTTGAAGGGGGTGGGACTTCCTCTTCCACTGCTCAGGGTGCTAACTGGGCATTGGTTGGGGGTGCTGAACAATTGCTTGTGCATCACTTGTTATGTAGGAATATACTTCTACAAATAAATAGCTTTTACTTTAATTTATAATATTTATACATAAAATATCTTTTTTCTTTTCTCTATCTTATTAAATAGTTCTAACTCAATCCACGAGTTTCAATTGTTTTTTAGACATACTCTTCTGCATCCCATTGGGAAAGGGAGGAAGTATGTGAATGACTGTATGGTGCTGGGCCACCTGCTGGGTGAAATCACACTACTTTGCTTCTCTTACATGAAGTCACATTTGGAGATTCCTAAAGGACACTGAGGAGAGAAGACCCTACGCAACATGCCATAATTTGGTCCCAGACCAAACAATCATTTGGACCAGATAACCTTCAGAGGTACCTTCTGATGCATATCATTCCATGTTTCAAGTTTCTATTTTTTCCCTTAAACGTTTTCTTTTTGTCATATACAGAATCTCTGAGGTTACAGAAAACAAGAAATTTCTGTATAGTCACAACAAGCTGGTCATTCATTTTGCTTTCCCATACAATTCTTCTAGGCATATACAGCCGATATAAATGCAAGAGCTGAAATGCAGTGACAAGATTATTAGCAATATTTGCTACAATACCTTCCTCTTGCTGGCTGCAATAACAGCAGGAAGCCATCGACTCTCTCTAGTGTCCATTAATAGGAAAACAACATCATGAGCATCAATAAGCTCTTCAAGTGTAGCCACATCCTTCCGAGCCTGTGCCATTGTTACTTCTGAAAAATTCACTGGATGGCCTGGCATAGGGATGCTCATGTTATAGCCTTCTGAGTTCTGGATGGAGGTAGAAAAAACAACAGCATGTTAAAACAAACTTTTGGCGTAACAGAATTATTCTAAAGTGCTACAGTTTGGCAGAAAGGCAACTTCACTCTTTGCATCTCTCATCAGGAGGCTTATTAAGTCTAGCAAATCAGCTCCAGAAGACAGCTGAACTGCTTTTAGTCCCAAAGGGAACAAACCATGACAAAACAAGCAGACAGGTCTTGCTTACAATGAAGACTGTGTTGTTATGTTATACAAAATCACTATCCTGGATTATCTTTGCAGCTACTTGACACACAATGACTACATTTCTCTGATACTATCAACTCTGTTACAGTATGATAAATATGAATTATTGCTCATTCTCCTCTCTAAACAATAGCCTTGAGTGATTTTCATGTAGTTCATCTAATTAAATCCATATGTGATCTTTATATATAAGAAAGTAACTTCTGAGGCTTGTGACTCCAGGCTTTGGATAACTGGAGGCTTCCATTACACAGCCAAAGAGCTTGTTCTTGCTGCAGAAACAAGTGTCTCTTCCAACTCCTTATTTGGGCAATGCATATTAAACAGAAAATGGATCAAGAAATAAATAAGCATATACAATGCAGACAACTAACTCACTTCCTCATAAACACTCTAACACAATCTGTTAGCCATCTGCTGGCACAGAGCAAATAATCCACCTACACATCAGAGCAGCAGCCTTGCCAAAGCCTCCTTTCTTGTCAGCGTACTATAAGAAACTAAAAATTTAAAACGCCAAAATTTAAAGGCTTGATGAACCAAACAAAATAACATGAAAAGAGAAGAAAGATTGGTGGAAAGCGCATTAGTATGGAGCAGGTGCATGCACAAGTCATAAATCCAAGGGAGTCAAATAACCAGAAGAGCAAAGTAGACCCCTTGTACATTGTAAGTATTCTTGAAGGAAAACAGATATATCAGCCAACACACCAACACATATAGCAGCTTGGAGAAACTAATTTGGTTAATATTTGTACCAACAAAGGATTTGTTTGTTTGTTTTTTTAATCTCCTACAGGAGAAAAGTAGAGCCCTGAGTACTGTATTGATGGATAACGTATCAAGGTAATGTATTGCATACAAGTACTGATTCAGTAAATAACTATAAATGTTCAAAAATGTGCTTTATTGATACAGGTTATCTTAAAGCACTATTACTGATTCCTTCTTATTATTGCAAGTTTCTCTCCAGACAACACTTCTGTTTTTGTAAGCCTCATCACAACCCCACGATTCCATAGCACAGCCTGGTCATTTGCTTTCCTGGTTGTTTTTAAACAGGAAAACTCACAATACAAGTTTCTGATGTTTCTCTCATGCAAAATTATGCTTTCTATAATGTTATTTGGGATATCACAAACAAGTTTTATTTCTTCTAATTACATTATTCTTTCCTAATATTACTGTTTTTATTTTCAGAATTTTTTTCCTCAATCTAAAAAAGCAAAAAAATCGTATGTTTCAATCTGAGCATTATCTTAGTGCATAACATGACACTGTACTCCATACTTGTTCTATTAAATATTTCTGTAACTGAGTATCACCAAGTAACAATAACACTGCAGCACAACAAGGTTAAAATCTGTGAGATTTTATATATTCTTTCATAATTTACCAGAAGTTCTGAAAGTTCTGAAAGTGAAACACATAGCATATTCTCATATTAAAGATTATTGTTTGATAATCCAATGTTTATTAAACAATTGCCTCGTACTAATATTGACATTCAAAGTAATGGTAATGATAGGATCAATGCAAAAGAAAAACAAGAACAGAGCAATCCTTGGGTCAAACTGAATGAACCTCAAATCTCTGGACTGGATCTTTTGTAAAGCTTGTTCATAACACTAATCACCAAGAGCATAACCAGTCTTTATTTCACTACTTTAAAGTTCAACAGCACTCTGATTAGTAACATAGTCAGAGGTATTTTAAATACAGAATTGCACAGTAAATATGCACTACTCATTTACTTGTTAATGTCAGTGGTCAAGGTACTGCTTGTCAGTTAAGCTCTGCCAAGCATAACTACTCTATCAAAGGCAATCTCAATTCCAAAGCAAAAAAAAATACAAATAGTTGGGTCCTCTACCACATCAACATGAAGGTCTTAATAATGAAAAAAATGAACTCTGCATACTTACTTAGTCACTATTACTCTCTTAAGTGATTTATTAGGAGATTTTAAATATTGATCTTACCACTCCTGGGAAGATTTTCTGAAGTCTTTCCGCTGCTGCAAGTGCCTTAGGCTTCCCACCACTGAGACAGTCTTCAAATTCATACAGTGGCTGCCGCACTGGGTTGGAGTATGAAATCCTTGCGTTGTCAACAAAAGTGATCTTCCTGACTCCCCAACCCTAAGCAAGAAACTAATTAATATATTAAATACAAAGGGCTTAGTCAAATAATTTCGAATCTCCAATGACAGAAACTTAAAGGCACTTTGCTCAACTGTTCTAGAAAGATCAGCTTTTGAAGCTATTCACAGCACTGTATTTGCACTTCATTAAGAGAACAGGTAGCTTCATCCGTCTAAATTTATTATTCTGCAGTAACCCCTCAAAACTTCATTAAGTGAGATGTGGTAAGGATTCTTGGAAGTAAGGATCACACAGCTACACAGCTACTTCACATGCTTCACTGTGAATTTGATTTTTATAAGCTTGTTAATTCATTCCAGAATTTTTCAATCCTTTAATGTAAATTCAACATCTATTCTTATCATGCTAAGTTTCTCTGACTGTTGTACTATTAGCAGAACTCCAAGTCATTTCTATTCCCTACAGATCTTCCCTGCAATTTATAATGTAAATTATAATGCATACATTAATACAGAGGACTACAACTTTTTCCTTATGTGCCATGGCAGCTGCTCAAAAAGTAGTAAAATTATTGAGAAACAGCAGGTTTTTATGATTAACTCAAGACTTACCATCAAAGTCCTTGCCACACTACAACCCAGAGTACCGGCTCCTAGCAGCAGACACTTGGCAGACACAATTTTTTCCAAATCAAGAGTAGGGACCAACCGCCAGCACATCAATTTCAAATTAAGATCCACTGACGATTCTGCTAACCTATACCACAAAATAAATAGTAACACTGATGAATACTGTGGGGTTTTGGGTAGTTTTTTTTGCTTTTTTCCAAGCAAAGCAAAGACCTATTTCAACTGTTTGGGTTTTTTTTTTTTTCCTCAAAAAGAAAGAAGTGGAATAGACCATTCCCTCAAGGCACATGCCAGTAGTTCTCATAATACCTTTTCCTTCTCACCTTGGTTTCAGCTGCCTTTTGCCTTTCTCTAAATTTTGCAGTTTATGACAACAGAGCCGTGCTTTCATTTGGTCTCCTAAGTTATTATTTTGGATCTCTTTTTCTTATTCAGGTCAAACTCACTACGTCTGAGATCTATTGTTCTACCATCTTTCCATTATTTTAAGGCATTCAGGTGCAACAAGAATATACGATTTGTGGAGAAGAATGGGCCAAGAGAAGGGACTGCTTTATTTTCCTAATAAGAAATAGAAATTATAATGCTGACATATCTAACCTGAACATTTCCTTCTGCAAAAGAATGTACATAAAACATCGTTACATATATAGAGAGAATAAAGGAATACTTGTACTTTCTTGTGAAGAGTGAAGCATATCTCAGCTTAGAACAGAATATATCATGCCAGCAAGAGCATCAATACATAGTTTAAACAATTCAACGTGTACGTAATGTGAAAGAATTAGTCTGAAAGGCTCATCTCCACTTAAGGCGGAGATCAAAAGACATTTGAAACAACTTTCTCTGTTGTTCATCCACTTGTGAGACAACACAATGCTATGCTCCAAGGAGCACTAGCTACAAATTCTTCTAACCATTCTGCCGTTGAGATATCTAGGTACATACATAGCACAATTACTCTTTTGCTAGATTGCTTACTAGCTATTAAATATACCAGATATATTCTTTGAAACTTTTTCTTGTAAGGACTGTCTTGGCTAAACATCACTTAACAACATTCTTGTAAAAACTCTCCAGTGCTTAAAAAAGAATAGCAAATCACTACTGTAACAACAATAGAAGAAGTCTGCAAGCAATGAACAAGAGCCTGCATGCTGTGCTCGTCAAGATCTGCGCCAGCAGGGATGATCCACTGTTTCATAGCTGCTGTGATGGTATTATTGCTAGGAGAACATTGGCCACACAGACCACATTTCTTCAGTCTGAATAGATACTGTCTGCTCAGGTTGTCTTCTCTGGTCCGATTCCAGAAGTTCAAACCTTCAGTTTAGTAAGCGTGGCGATGTAGCCATCAGAGATGATGCTTTGCCAGGGTTCCAGAAAATCTGGAAGGATCACCACTTTATTATCCCAAAAGACAGTGTATATCAGCTGCATCTTGAACTTTTTCTTTGATGAGTAATTCCCATTTTGCCACTCCAGGGACTTATGTTTTGACTTTGGTTCATAACAGTGACACCAAATCTCACAACCAGTAAGAATGCAATCCAGCCTCATAAGTGCTGAGAAACATGTATATGGTGTTCTTCCTGTTCCTAGGCAAGTATTTATGGGATCTTCCTGGCACAAACTTTATGATATTCCAACACTGCCACCGTTGCTTCCAACACAGTGAAGATGCTATTCAGTTCTGTACACAGTTCCCTGGTCATAATCTGCCAATTCACATGGATGAGTTGATTAAGACACTGCTGTGGTTTTATGATTCTTGGTTATCAGTGTTCCACATCGTAACATCATGTAGTACATTGAGAGTTAAAGACTTAATGCTCCAGTTCTGGGTACCCATCCCAGAAGAGAAGTAATACATCCCCCAGAGGACTGTTTGCTGTTTTGTTACCATTTCTACACAGAGCAAAAGATAAAAGTCATTTGGAGGTCACTTGACCTTCACTTTTGATCTCAGCAGCCTGAGCTTCCTAGATCTTCTCACCTCACCATTAGAGTAAGGCCTTCAGCTTTCAGACACTCTCACTTAATTTGATTTATTAGCTCCAATTCTAATTGTATTGCATTATAGTGTGTTACCTTGCATTCCAATATCTAATTCAGTAAAATAGTTTGTTTCTCCTCAGATTGTTGCTGCTGTTCTTTTCAGCCCATCTCTCTACCCTTTTTCCCTTTCACAAGGTATGCATAACCCTCCCCAAAAGTTGCAGAACCGGGCCGAACCAGCCCGTAAACCATTGGCAGACACTCTTCATTTTGTGGTATGACAGATGAGCATGTCGGTCCAGAATGTGTTTTTTCCTTCACACTGCTGTCAAAACTGCAGAAACATACCACCCACAGCTTGACTGCCCTAACATCCACCTTTGGTCTCCATAAATGTTCAGCAAGTGTCAATAAATGTTAGTGGATGCCATTTTTTCTGCATGGAAGAATTCAGTTATACCCCTTTGCTCCATATACGCTTCTATGTCAGACATTTTTGTCAGACTGCCCCTCTGCTGCCATATGCCACATGACAACAAAGCATAATAGAATAATGGCAGGAAGGTTCAACATCTAACTCTGACATTACAGGCCAACACAATAAAATAGGAGGCATTAAGTTTGGAGCAGCCTTCTCAAGCAGGAAAAGTGAAAATGTTTACTGAAGGAATCAGAGTCCCTCAGATGAACGGTCACTAATGTCTAAGAACACATTCTAAATTACCACAATTGAAAGAAAAAAACCTTAGCTTGCTAGATAAAATATCTAACCTAAATCATTAGATCAGGATGCTCTCACAGCATCAGAAAGGCAAGCGCACACACGTAGACAATGAAAGCAGAAATGCCAAAAGGCTGTAAAGCTAAGCCGTTTTCAGTCCCATGCTGGTACACTATTATGTGCAAAATAACAAAAATTACTAAGGTCATGTTTCCTGAGCTGCTTCCTGTCACATCATAACACTTGCAAAAGCATGAACTGTCCTCCATATTAATTTTCATTATACTTAACCTGCAGATTAGAGAATTCATTGAAAACAGGCCTATAACACTGCATTAAATTTTAAATATAACGTTTTTGATATTTTAAGCTAGAGTCACAAACTGCAGAAATGTCTGCTGTTTACAGTGCACTCTGCTCTAGCAAGATGCAAATCTGCAAATAGGACCAAAAATTACACAATATATATATTACTGCATAATCTTCAAAACATTTAGAGTATGCGGCACTGCCTTGAGACAGAATCCTTGCATTCCACATTTCAACTTTTATCACTAAAACCCAAGAAAAGAAACTACAGAAATTTAGAAGATGAAAACCAAACCTTTTTGGATCCATACACTCACTGAGATTGACCACCCTTGGACCCATGCCTCCCTTCTGGTTTTTCTCCCATCCAACAGCTTTTGGACAATCTGTTTCATGAAGAAAGAAGGAAGAAGAGATGAAAGCCTTAATACCACAGGATAGGAAAAGAAAGTTTTGTTTGATTTAAACTTACTGGAAAAAAATTAAGCCTTTAATTAAACAAGCTGCACCTTAACCTAGTTTACGCAGCTACACAAGTGTTGCTGGATTTAATACCAGATGTCTAATGTGCTGCTTTTGCCTGCTTAGCTTGCTTTATACCTAAGGTGGAAATATCATCATTCCTCACCAAGCCTAGTGATCCTGAATGTCAAACAGATCGGCATGTTTAGCTCTCAGTAAATTCAGAATTCGCTACTAAGTTTTGCCTAGTTCAATCAGCTCATCATGTTCCCTAGGCTCTATCTGTAAATTCAGCAGAGAATTACACGTGCTATTTTTACAATAATTAAACAATTCACAGCTATTGCATGTAAAACATCCAGAACAAGGTGAGGTAGAACAAAAATTCATATTGTTCTGCAGACAGAAATTTAGTCTGAGTTTGTTCTAATGTGACAAATTGATTGCTTTTGAAATACATCTGTCTACTTCACAATTGGACTGAATTCCACTATTTTATAAATATACAGAAAAATATGCAGAGATTCACTATCATAAGAATCTGCGGAGGGACTGTGTAGAAATTTAAGACTTGTTTTTAATATCAGTTCATATAAGATACTATAAATTGCTACCTGACTTCTGTATCTCCACAATAACTTTTTCCTCAGATGTTCTCCTTAAATCCTGCAAATCCCATTACTAATTCAATAAGAAAGCCTATTCACCCTTGTTTTTTTTAAAGAACATTCAAATAATTTTCAATTTATTTGAAATAACTTAGTGTAAGCAATGATAGCAGTGATTTCACAGTGTTATTTTTCCTGTCTTCATGGTGACTAGGGAGGAAGAAACAGAAGAGAGATTTATTTTCCTCTTTTAAATGAATTACCTGGGCCAAATGCTCCTTGTGGAAGTTTTATTTCAAAGATAATGCTGTGTGTTATGTCTCTCACCCCTTGCATGGTCCTGTCTCTGAAGCAGAGCACTTCAATTGACTGCAGAATATTGCCCCTGGCAATTAAAAAAAACATACAAAGACATGCATCTTTTTTTCCTTTCATAGAAAAGGAACTTATTTTAACACTACTACACAAAGTTTCAGTCTTTTGTAGATTTCGAATAACATTTTTTTCTGTTAGCAGAGGAACACTACTGCTCACTGGCTATAAAGACAATTGTTCAGCACACGTAAACGATCACACTCTGCTGAGACAACTCCAATGAAATGACACTAAATACTACGTCCTCTGTCATTTATTCAGTGCTTCTAGACAAACTGTATCAGAAAACACATTAAGTGACACAACATATACCTGCACTGCACCAAGGAACAAGTAAGATTTTAGTTCTTGATGTAATACCCTTTTTCCTACTCACAATTCAACTCCAAAAGTCAAAGAATTAGAGCTTCAGCGCCTAAAAACCAACAAACCTTAAAATGTATAAAGCACTCTGGGTACTTATACTTATCCTTCAGTCCAGAAAATTCTGTACCTGGACTTTTCTCCTTCCTGATGTGCTTTCCATGATAATATGCAGAAATCAGAACTATGAAAATACAACTTAATTACGTTATTACGTTGCAATAACCCAATTTCAGGTAAACAGTAGTTTTATAGTCTAATATTTGAGAAGCATCTCCTATCCAACTCCTGCCCAACAAAAAATAAATCAGAAAGTATGCTACAAGAAAACCTAAGAGCATCTGATTTTCAAAATTTAGGTCTAATGTTACTTGGCACTAATTACTTACCTAAAATCACAGAATATTTCAAACAAGATTTTCTTTGATTTGAAACAGCTAGAGCCTAAAAGGTTCTGAAGTAGGTTCTGAAGCATGTACTTCCAGATACGTTTACACAAGTAAGAATGAGGAATAACAGGAATTTATAACTGAACAAAATAAAAAACAGTTGTTGGTCTCTGAAAGCACTGAAACTGCTTCTGGTGTTTGTGATACTGAAGCTGTGTTGTGAAAATGAAGCTGTTTGTGATAGCAGGCAAAGTATCATTAACAATATCAGTAATCATATAGAAAATAATGACTCGCCCGATTGATGATTAGTCTCTGGCTAAAGAACACTCCTCCTCAGGAAGTGGCCTTTATCCAGATGGTGTCCTCACTTTGGAGGCTGGCCCTTAAATGAGCCCAGGGATGGGTGGACCCAGGGTCCACTCCTGGTCACACTAGAAGCACAAATGAACTACTTGTACCTGTGCTTCCTGGGCCAGCCACCCCCTTCACCAGGTGCTCAATCATCAGTTCAGGCCATGACATAACAGTTTCACTACAACAGTAACATGCAAATCCAGAACCAATGAACACAAGTAATGTCAAAGTTAAAAGTAGTGGGTTTTCATTGCCTTTTTTGTGTTTGTTTTTTTTATTTTCCTTCACATATTTTTTCCTTCACATATTTCTGAGACTAAGGTTAAACTTCAGGTGCATGATGCAAGCAAATTGCCATGGATGAAAAAATGATACAAATAGAGCTTAATTTGATATGAATCAATAGCATATGTCTCTGTGGAAAACAATAGAAGAGATACCATTTATGCGATGCCAAGATCAGGAAATTTCGCAGTGGCCATCCTGGATAGTGAGATAAATTACACGGATCATAAACTCCAACTGTCACCTGTAAATAAAATTGCTCTGAGATGTCATCTATCAATACTGATACTCACACTAAAGATTACCTGGCATTTTTAGTGTAAAATATTTGGACATGGAATGACTACACATACATTTTATGTTTTTACCTACATTTACTGCATGGTCACACTAGATTTCAGTAAAACATTTGCTAGAGCTTCCAGAGCTCTCACTTCAGCTTCTTCAAGAACATTCACATATTTCACTACAGTATATTAGCCTTTCTTGCTTTCTTTAAATAAGACATTGTGAGGAAAGCCCAATAACAGAAGCCTTGCTCCTTAAACAGAATTCTGCAACAATTTTAGGATGATTCAAAACTGAAAGGGGTCAATCCAGCACGAAGTCAAAGGAGAAAAACAATATAAAAATAACTCAAAGGCAACCCTTCAAGATGAGATATAATATAAAGGAACTGGATGTTTTGTCTCATCTTCAACCAGTGCAACTACCACGCACTTAAGTGAGGCACTTAAACTCAGAGTTTATTTACTTTACATTCAGTGCAGAACAAAAACATAACCAGAAATCAGAAAGATGACGCCGTCTACCTTTAGATATGCTGAAAATTTGGACTCATTCATCACTAGAGCTACCTGTCTCTTTCACATCTACATCAATGATGTGTCTCTAGAAACAGTCTGAAATGCAATCAAGCCAATCTAATGCATAAACACAGGGTAGGCAAGGATCCATTCCCCTGTCCCTCATCCAGCCATACACTGCTGCTGCTTTGCACTTGCTGACTCAAGAAAGCACGAGACCTGTTAAAAAGTTGACCTTGTTTAGTAAGTTAGCAGTACATTAATGCAGCAACAAATACATTTTTCTTCTAGGGGAGCAAGTTCAACTGGCTCACGGAAATACTGACAAATTTCAGAGTCAGCTCATCCAAGAAACTGCACCTGATAGCTCTTTGGTAGATCCCTTCAAAAAAGGACATTAACAAAGAAATGTGTTCCAAATGATTACAGACTATCTTGCATTAAAATACCCCTACATTAATTAAATGCTCTCTTGCCTGTGACACACTACTGCACTTACACTACTTTTTTAAAATCTCAATTTTTAGTAAAAAGAGCACGCAGAACTCAGACTTAAAGCTGTCCATTAATTTGATGCATCTTGGCTTCTCGATAAAGATGTAGACGCCTAACTCTTGAAAAATAAGTCAATCCAAGCTGCTGGTCATCAACTATTTACCCAGTCTACTTAATGGCCAACAAATGTGCCCAATTCAGTATTACATGTATGTTTCAAATCACTTGTAAATTAAGTACATGCAGGTTACAAAAAGATGCAAAATACTCATTACCTTTCCCCCTTGGTCTTGAAAGAAATCATCCCATTTTTTGAGTGGAGATACAACCACAGAATTGTCATGATACTTGATTAAAAAATAAGGTAAGGCTGTAACCCCTTCTGTCTGGCAAAGTTCATCATATGCTTTCTGAAGTGCTTGAATCTAAAAGCAAAAAGACAATTGAAACCAATAGTTGTAATGCTCCTATAAAGAAACACTGAAATGTATCCTTATGCTCCCTCCCAGGTTGGAGCATTCTATGTTTCATTCTATGATTGGGTGCAACTGTTTCAGAATTCAGGAAATGCTATCTCACTCAAGGTATTACAGAATACAGTGTATTCAGAAATTTTAAAGTCTATTATTACCACAATAATAGATTAAAAAGTGAGTTGCTAAAACTGCAGTTGTCAATGGAAATTTGAAACAGGTACACCATTACCATTGCAGCAAATGGATCTACCAACAAAAAAAAACAGAACAATAAAATGAAATCTCATTCTAATAGTCACAGTAGCTTGCTTATCAAGTAAATCTACCCCCTTTATTATTAGCAGAAGTTCTCTGATTTGTTTCTGAAGTAGAAGACCTGTACTCTTGCAGTCCTGTATGTGTTGGCAAACAGTAATCACACTATTACACCAAGGAGGCTTAACCACTCTGTTTATTTTGTCATCCATTTCCAATGTTTAGTCAAATTCTTTGGAAAGTGACAACACTGTTACAGTGCTTATTACTACAGAAGTAATATAAGGGCATTCTGGGAACAAGGCAAGTATTATCCACTGGAAAGAAAAAGAACAAACTGAAAACTGTTTCTCATGGACTACTACAACATCAAAAAGCCACTTCAAGTTTCACATCAACTTCTGTCACAGTCAAAAAAGGTATTTGGAAAACTTGACTTCTTGTCTTTTCACAATGAAATAGGAAACAAACTACAAAACGCTGTCAGATGCTCTAAAAAACTACTCCCTATCAACATTTTTCTTGTCAAATCATACATTTTATTAAGAATTGTCATTTCTCCCGATCACTCACAGAATTTTCCTTTTAAAACCTTTCATTAAATAATGGTAAGTTTCAAAAATACTGTGTAGCAATTGGACAGATCAATATGATGGAAAGGCATTACAATAAAGGTGCAGTGACAGAAGGACCAGCACAATAGAAAGGTGCTATAAAGGAAAGGAAGGAGATTGCTCACCTGGATCAGAAGATTCCAGGTTCACAGGGGAAAGCTTCACCAAGGAGGGATCTCCAGAAAGAGATCCTTCCCCAGTGGAAGTCAGTCCTTCAGTGAAGTCTAAGAGAGGTGCAGCCAGGCTCCACCCCTTCCTATCACACAGGGGAATTGCTTTCACCTGTGCTCCCAGGGTCTTTTGCCCAGGTGCTCAGTCAGTGATTCAGTAGTTCCCATATACACAGCTATGTAACTACCTCCCCTCAAGAACTGTCTGCCATGCCTGCATCTAACTTAAAGCTGAGGTGATGTTAAGGTGAGAGATTTTGTACAGGGAAAAAAAGGGGTAAACTAAGAGTGAGAATAAGAAAAGTGAAGATTTTAAAAGGAATTAGATTTGAAAATCCAGCATATGCTAACAAAAATACTAAGCTTTATGGCAAGAAATCTACTCAGTGCTACAGAGTTCATAACATTTGGTATTTAGAATACCTGATTTAAAGAGAACCTGTCACCAAGACACACCGGTTTCTGAACTATATGTATTCCATCAGGGAAGCAGAGAGCAGGGTAGCAAAACCAGTAATAGAAATGATACTTTTTCAAATCCTTGGGGAAAAAAAACAAAAAACCAAGATAAGATAATAAACATACAAATTAAAGAAAATTTCTATTTGTACTAACCATAGTTCTTATTTGACAAGTCACTGTCATGAGTTGAAAGAAAACCGAGCATACTAGACTTCTTTCCTCTACACCTGTAATCAGGACTTCAGCAGACAATATACGTACAATACTCCAGTGTTAGACAGAGCTTTGTGTACTAAACTTGCAAATATGTTAAACATGAGAGCTGCTCTGCTTTTACTAATATTTGTAAGGCAGCCACATTCAGATACATTTTGCAATCTGAGATGGTATCTGCATTTTTTAAAGAATACATTATAAAATCTTTTATATGTGTACATGAAAATGGCCTCAACTTTTAAATGTTCTGAGATACTTTAAAAAGTCTGAGAATGATCCTGATAATGTGAATATGGTAATACAAATGCATAAGTTCTCCTAAGAAAAAACTACTACATTTCCATTTCAATGCTCTGAGATACATTATCATTACTCACTGCGAATGTCAACAGCAGGAACCTGTTTAAGAGCATAGGGTTTTCAAGTGCAGCTCCAGATTTTATTGATTCCCATATCTGTAATTGATAGTTGAGGCAAGAAAGAAGAGAAAGAACTGAGAAACAACAAAAAAAAATTAAGTATAAGAACAGCCATACAGATTTTTAGTTCTTCCAGCTACAGAAAAAATATTGACATCAATGTTCCCGGAAATCCACTGTGATCTTTTAGTGTCTGATCTCATCCAAACCATTACCAATGCTAAAAGAACAAGAAGCAATACAAACATGTACTAACACAGCAGCTATAAATGCTGGGGAACATTAAATGCAACAAAAAAACTCCAGCAGTCTGCCATGCACATGAACTATTATAACAATATAGAACATGATGTATTAGTAGTATAGCCTTTTATTCTCTCTCCTTTTTCACTCATGGGAGCTACACATAGTAGACACGTGAATGAACTACTATGACATTTGACTAAAACAGTTGAGACAATCAAGAAGGCACTGCACACTTGTGAGACAAGAAGCCATAATACATACACGAGGAAGGAGTGTTTGTCTTAAAAAAAGAATAATAAATAAACAACCTGTAAGAGCAAATAAAGCTTTCTGACCTTCCTCAACTCTCTGAACGTAATTAAAGTAACTGCATTGTGTCTGTCATTAACTGAAAGTACTGTGCTACACCAGGCCTCAATTGAAGATACATATACATGAAAACTTTGTTACCCACAAACAGCAGGCAGCCAACAAATCTAATCCAAGAAATCAAAGACCAGTCAAAGTATAGCACCTCAAAAATAAAAAGGTTGCCTTTGTTAGACTTGCTCTTCTCCTTAAGCCATGACATGTAAATTAGTTGGTTACAGTACAAGCAGATAAGCCCCTTCCTTTGGCAGTCACCTTTCTCTTGCCTTATCTCAAACTTCTGGCTGTTTCCCATCACTCTGTCATATTGATAGATGGACTGCAGTAATTCAGTTTAAACTAGACATTTCCTGATTTCTGGATGCTGTAACAAATTAAAAACAAGATCTATAGAACATAAGTCACTGGCATCTCTAGTAGCCATTGAATTTAAAACACAGTTTCGTAGAAGCCTGAAAAAAGACCTCCAAGTATCAACTTGCTATTCTCTTGCAAAGAACAGTAAAAAAGCCAATATCAAACTTCTCTCACCATAATAAGTTAAATCCAAACTACACGGGTGAGTTTGGACAGTCTCTCTAATATTTGGGTCAGAGACAATAAAGCAATTCACTGGCTATTTCCAAACCATCTCTTTACCAGTGTAAAATCAGAAAGATCAACCCAATGGAATGGTGATACAGGAGGTATAATGATAAAGGGACTAGCGTGAATGGAAATGTGTTACAAAGGGAAAGGAAAAGTGCTCATCCATCTCTGAAGATCTAGGCTCACAGGGAAAACCCCGCAAGGAAGAGATCTCCTACCATGAGATCCTTCCCCAGTAGAGGTGAGCCCTTCAATGAGGTCTAAGAGAGGTGCAGCCAGGCTCCACCCCTTCCTGTCACACAGCTGAATTGCCTTCATCTGTGCTCCCAGGACTGATCAGCTCCTTTCCCCAGGTGCTCAATCAGTGGCTCAAGCCTTGATTCAACAACTACCATTCAACCAGCTGATTTGATTTTAACCTTACCTCATTTGCTTCTTTTTCCAAAAGTGATTTTTTATCACAGGACTTGAAAGTCTCAAAAGTGTTGGTATTATACAATGTTCCGAAAGCAGGACAGCAACGTGCTGGTATTGCAGCATTCCTGAATTAAAAAAGAGAACACTGGAAATTGTGTACCAACATCTTCAACATGATCATTAGTAGTAACAATTGCTCTCCTATGGAGTAAAATTGTACAGAAACTGGAAAACAATGAGGCATAGTAACAAAAGCTACTGAGAGCTCTACTGAAAACATTTCATGATCATAATGCTTTATTAAATATGGATTGTTATAAGAACTTGTGCAAGAGAGCACCCACATTATGATTTCAAAATTCATGAGGAATCTGGATTTTTCTAGCAAGGCAGTACTGAATTAGGTTGAAGGAAAATTTTTACAAAATGAATTCAAAATAAACAATTAATGATAAATGTGATTTACACTAAGAAAGAATTAAGACTGAACTTTACATGCCAATACTTCATTCACACAAAAAAATACTCAGTTAAAAAAAACTAAGTTGAAAAAAGACACCACAAAGGAAGTCTAATCCGGACAGATGCCTGAGTGCCTTTCCTAGTTTGTAATATTATCAGCTGGAGGCCCCATTTTTTGTAGCTAATTTTATAGACCTGGTTGATTTAACTCCTTTAACATCATTCTTCCAAACAGATCATTTTGATGTTCCCATATCACAGCCTTCTTCCAAATGCACTTTGCTAAACACACTTTCAGTATAACATCAAAAAGTTGTTAGATAAAAATTGTGTCCTATGAAATTATCTTAAAAACCACTATGCCTTGCTAGAACTCCTAATATCCTGAGAAGGCAGAGGAATTCACTTCTGAGATCCACAACTCTGAGATCCATCAATTAAAAAAGAAGGTATTGACTATGAAGGCATCCGTCCAGATCCTATATTAGTTATACTAATATAGGCGTTAGCTCAAAATGAAAACTGGATGAAAAAAAAAAAAAGATTTCCTCTCATCTCACTTTTGCTGTGTACACAGAACAACTTTGTTCTAGCTTCAACTTGGGAGTAAAAGCAAAAATAGGAAATTTCAGTCAAAGGTTAAATACTACTTCAAAGATATTACAACATAACAACCAGGATTGTAAAAGCTATTTTGAGATCTTAATTCTAAGGAAGAATATTTAATTTATAAAGATATTAAGAAAGCTTTAACCAGAAATCAGATGACTGAAATTATTATTTATACAGAAGTGCCTACGAAATGTGGGAAAAAAGGGTATTATATAAACACATATAAACATTAAGTGAAACTGAGACTTGTCAGTGTATTTTAAACTTGGCCCTTCAGATGAATACACTGCTTCAAAAACAGGGATTTAGTACTCTGAGTACAAATATTCTCTCCGCAGTTATAAAGTGCGTGAGAATGTGAATTGATCTCTTACTGAATTTTTTCAAGTGATACTCTGTCATAGCGTTACTGTTATGCAAGGAAAGCTTCTCCACATATGAATTAAGGTGAAGCATAATACATACTTACATATCAAAGGCACTAAATTCCAACGTCAAACGAGCTGGGAAACCTGATGGATCGCCTGGCCAAAAAGAAGCAACATGCATCTTTTAAACTGCAATATGTATATTTTCAAATTAGAGAAATAACCTAATCTAGGATTATAAGACACCCATGGACACACCAGAATTCCCATCTCATTCAGCAGTGCTCCTAATCCTAGCAATGTTTCAGCAAAATACCTAAAACACGTTAAATGAATATTCAGAGGAACAATAGGGGAAGCCCAAACTACTAAGACATTCAGTTTATACGTACCATTGTAGTAGTATCCTTTGATAACTTTTGGAGTCTCATCTAATCGGTACTCATTGAGCTTCTTCTGGGTTAGTTCATGCCAGAATCCTACGTTCAAGGCACTACTGAAGGGAGCAAACTGCAGCTTTGAACTTCCAGGATCCACAGGATGGCGGGACTCATTGCTGACTGCTGCCATGATTGTAGTTCAGTATTAAACATACAGACAAAGAGAATTCTGTAAAAGCAGATAAGCTGTATGAGTATGTACTCCAAGAACCATGTTACACTTAACTACTTAAAGTTTCTTTTAAATACACTTTGTTATGTGAAGTATAAAAAAATCTTTATTCCTCTGAAAATTTAAGAAACTTGGTGCAATTAAAACAGCTTTCACAGATTTTCTTCATGCTTTTTGGAACAGGGGAGAAGAAAAATGTTTTTGATTTCTTGATGACTGCCAAATCACCAGCTTCTTCTTTGGAAGAACTTCTCAAATTAATCAGAAAGACACAGTCATGTTTTTCCTTTCACAATACTTCTTCAAGCAAAGTCTTTGAGGTAATCCATGTTACTGTTTCTAGGAATATAGACATGATCTCTTAAAGACTTTCCTTACTTCTGGGTAAACTGTGAAATGTATTCTTCTGTTACACATTTGATGTGTTCCATCGTGGTAAATATACGGTTCTGTCACAACGTCTTGCTTTACCCAGAGTAGGTGATATTTCTTCTTACTTAATTTCACTTTATTTTTCTTTTTTTTTAGGTTTTATTTTTAATAACTGGAATCTGTGATGTCATAATTTTTTCACAGCTTGCTTAAAAACACCTTCTCATATCACTTCTATTAGCATAAAGAAAGTTTTCTTGAAAACTTGAGTATACAATGGCTATACAAAGTAGAGCTAGCTGCATGGCATTTTCTGATCATTATAATAAGACTTGTTTTTCCTGCATGTAAGATGTAAAAGTCACATATACTTATGTATTAATAACCAGCTAGTTTAAATTTCACTACTACATAAATCTTAAGCCTTACAGAATTTATTTTTCAAGAAAAAATACCAGAAGAAAAAAATACAGATTGCTCATAAGACAAGCAAACATTCATGTGTCACATAGGCATTAGCAATAACTGAGTCAGGTTGTGTTGCATGTCATGCCAAAATGTCTATAATAAAACTTTTAATGAGAGTTTCATTAGCTGCCTAATCAAAACCAATCCATAAACACCCTCTTCTCTTCCTACTGAATTTCAGAAGCAAATTCAGGGAAGTATTACTTAGCGCTTTTTACAATTAATAACAAAAAGCAACAAGGAGTCAGTGCCTACTTTGCCAGACAAGCTTTATTATAATTAAAGATTTACTCATTTTGAATTATTTGTTCTTTTTCAGCCTTTGGAATAAGTTTTCATTTTATCCCCCTTTCCCATTTTATTTATGTACAGGTACATGAAATGCCCAATATGTCAAATATTTTAAATGACCAAGAACCCAGGTGGCAACACCAAGCAGCCACGTACCACGAGCTGAAAATACCAGCCTAAAAGCATCCGCTGCAAATGAAGTTCAAGACCCTACTTAATTCCATTATTCCTGTACTTAAAGAGCTGTTGTTATGAAACACAGGACCTCTCTATGCTATACGTGTGTAAAGAGAACAGAATAGACAATCATTTCTGATCTGACACTTTTGAAAATATAATTTTATGCATTTGCATGCAAATACTCACATGCTTTCTTATACAGTACGTTAAATTTTGTGCAACTAGTTACATATAAATGTGTTGTAGGTACATTTTGTAGAACTTGTTGATAGAAACCCATAGCTTCTAACAATCAGAAGGAGAACGTGAGGAATAAAGAGACATCAGAAACCTCGAATTTCACAAGGGCTCAGCTGTAAAGCGAGCTTGAAGAAAAAGATTTACCAATATGCTTTAGAGATAACTCCTGAGTTCTGTAACTGACAGGAGATATAACAAGTGCAATGAGCAACAATAGCCAGAAAAAAAAAGTACAAGCACTCACGCTTACTGTTAAACATGCAGGCATTCAGATGAGCCTAATTGAAAAATATGTCCAGAAAACCACAGAGCTCCCTCCTTGAGGGAGGACGTAATCTGCCATAAGAACGCGATCAGCAGTTACATATCACAGAATCACAGAATGGCCAGGGTTAGAAGGGACCTCAAGGATCATGAATCTCCAACCCCCCTGCCACATGCAGGGCCACCAACCTCCCCATTTAATGCTAGACCGGGCTGCCCAGGGCCCCATCCAATCCTCTGGAACCGACATGAAGTTATAGGTTTTAAACCAGATTCACAAAACCACCACTAAACCCACATTTTCTATAAAATTCCACTCTGTGCTCCAGAATAGAGAACATTCTGAAGACCTCCTTCCTATGAGCAAATAGAAATCTATCTAAGGTGCTTTTCCAGAAAAGCTGAGCCAGACATTGAGCTTATCCGATGCTTGTTATTTTTGGAGCACGGAGAGCCTTCCCTATTTCCAGGATCACAGCAGGGCTGAGTTCAGAAGGCACCTCGCAGCCCCCAGCCTCACCCCTGCCGTGGGCTGGCTGCCCCCCAGCCCAGGGCTCCTCATCCTGGAGCACCTCCAGGAAACACGACTACTGTCACGCCTTACAGCCCGGCTGCCCCGCCAGCTGCCACCTCTGAGCGCGGCAGGCGCTGCCCGTGGCGCCCCGCACAACCCCGCACTGGGGCGCCGCCTGCCTCACTGCGGCACCGCAAGGGACGAACTCCCTCCCGCCCTCCGTGACAGAACCCCAACTCCCGCAGCCGGGAGCCCGAAGGCAGCAGACGCCCTCAGTGCCCCTCAGCCACCGCCGCTACTTCACGCCACACGGCCCCCGACCGCGCACGGCCGCTCACCGGCTCCAGCGCGCAGTACTTCCGGCATTGCCAGCTGACGCGAAGCGTGACGCTGCCGTGCTTCTATCACGTGACCGAGGAGGGCGGGAAGGGAGCGGGCGTGCGGCGGAGGAGCGTCCATTGCGCACGCGCCCGTCCGTTGGCTCCGCCTGAGGCGGGAATGTCAGGCAGCGCAGCGCCGCTCCCTTGTGGCGGCGCGGTGTGGTGCAGGGCAGTGCGCGCGGCAATCGCAGCCCTAACCGGCTGATTCTGAAGGTTCTTTTCTGTGCCGTCCTGAGTGCGCTCGCTTTAACAACTGCATGAATAGGCGAGAAGACACGAAGTACACTCAGTTTATGGCTCGTGAAGTAAAAAACCGATTCTCTCCTCTGTGGTTATGACTGTTAGGTCAACCTGCACAAGGATGCTATGCTTTGAATATGGTGTTGATGTGCTAGTGAAGCGTTGAAGGATTCCAGATTTATCAAGCATATTTAGTCAGCTAAAGTCTGCAGGTGATCATATAAATGATAAATGATATAAAAGCATGGTGGCTGAATGCTGGAGATGTTCCCAATTTTATGTCAGCAAATGTCCTCAGCCCGGTTGTGCCAACTGTGACGCTTGGTGCTGCAGCTGCTGCCAATCCTAACACGATATAGGCATTGTCTCTGAAGCCTTTACCTACAGTGAGACCTGGCAAAAGAAGTAATCTGAGGATTCAATGAGTAGTCAACAAGCTGTCTTAAAACCCAGCTTTTGGGCATAGAAAGCCATGCTCAACAGGTGGAAAAAACAGCCACCAGCGGGTTATTGCAGTTTTCCAGGCAGGTTGAGACCTGTGCTGGTAATGTTTAACACCCCTATCACCAGGCTGGATGAGGGAACTCTGCTCAGGCCTCTGGATGACACCCCAGTGAGGGTAGCAGCTGAAATGCTGCAGGACTGGGCACCAAGGAGCCTCAATACCCTGCTGTGGCTGAGAGGAGCCTCGCCAAGGCCAGCAAAGATGCATCAAATGGGAAATCTGTACCTGGAAGAGACTAACTGTGCACATCACTGTAGGCTGGGGACTCCCTGGATGGCAGCTTTGCAGGAGTTAAATAATACAGAGAATGAAACATATACTAGATGGCAGGATCCACTTACAAATTGCACCCCTCTTTTAATAAACCTGCATGCTACGTCGTACTTGATACAGAATCCCACAATTCATCTCATTTCCCTCTAGATGTCCTCACTGACACAAAGAAACATGGAAGGGTGAGTGTATTTTTCTGCTGCTTTTTCTAAGTGGTTGCTCTAACCACACCCTCAACAAAGAGGAACTTCAGTCCAAGAAATTCCAAGAAATTCATTATGTTCAACTTAAAACTGTGAGTCCTCTGACCTTGTTTATTAACTGAAAAATGTTGAAAATATTTGCAGGAAACCACGCCTGGAGGCTTGGCCCCACGTGGCAGTAGGTTTCTTCTCCTTACCCTGATTTGCTTTTCTCTGCTTCTCAGTAGAAGAAACTAATAAATCCTGTTACATACTTTGCTAATTGGAAGCTTAAGACAGGAAGTTTTCAATTTTCCTGTTTTGTTATTAACGATTCTATTTATCACATCAGAGAAGTCTACTATGACAACTTTCCCCATCTTTGTAATTGCCACATGTAGATGATGGACAAAATTGAAAGGACATTAAAAACAAATAAACAAAACAAAAACAAAACAAAAAAACCCAAAACAATAACAAACATCCAGGCAGCTTATTTATCTCTTTTGTACCTGAATAGTTTTTAATCATACCAGAAGTATGCTTTGATTTTTAATAGTGATCTTATTTCACTGGTTTTGTTATAGTTGCTGTTTCATTTATTAACACGTTTTAAAGTCAGAAAAGGCAATTGTCACGATCAACGCTTTTTGATAATCTTAAGCCCCTGGGTTATTGTGTTCCAGTGCTATACATTAGTAACTGTGGCTGAATCATTATACTGTTTTTTTTTAATTTCCCTAGTCCCTGAATTACCATCTATTTTATACAGAATTGCTGTCACACATTATAATAGAAAAAAAAAAAAAAAAAAAAAGAGCAGAATGGCTATTGATCTTAAGAATAGTTTGTGAGTGGCTTTGAGTAAGAGCGTTATGTTCCAAAATTTGCTGCTCTGTAGTCTAAAAGGTTTGTTTTATTACTTGCACAGACACTGTCCCTGCAGTGCAGAAGTTGCCAGAATTACTAAATGAATGTTACTACTTTTATATATATATACACACTATCTGTATATTTTGGCATATTTTTTTTTTCTGATTGCAGTCGTTCCTGAATACTACTTAAGACTGAATTTAATCGATCTCTGAACCTTGTTTGATACATTAGACTATGTTAATTAATTTAGTGCATTTTTCCAAATGTAAAGCTAACCATATAGAAAACTGCGGATACTTCATTTAATGTTAAGTACTATAAAAAAGAAAAAACCTTCTATTGATGATCAGGCATTTAATTAACAGATATAAAACGGAAAGGATAATAATACTTTGCATTTATTTAGTGTACTGCATCCAAAAGTTATGATGCAAATGTCTTTAGTGTTTAATTGTTCTTCTAAGTTTTGTCATGCTCACTTGCAAAATAGGCATGTGTGACACAGAAAGACTCTAAGTAGCTCGAAATCAGTAAGAATATAGAATTGAGAATTGCTCCTGCAACTGTTTTTCTCTTCTGATGTAAAAAGATATTACACAGAACATCCGTTTAACTTTTCCCACCAAACATGTGACAGCACTCTGCTAAAACAGCTCCGGTTCTGTCAGACCTTTGCTGTTAAGCTAACTATCAGCTATTTCAGAAGCAAGAAAACATTCTAAAAGTGGTAAATACATCAGCACAGCAAAATGACAATGAGTATTGGCGCTCAGTTGAGTTAGAGAGCTCTCACAGTTTCTTGTAGCATCAGAATAGTTCTATTTTATTGTGTTCAACATACATCTCATATACCATTCACTTACAAACAAGAAATTCCTGTTCCTCTATCAGTTCCTCTAATCAGTTAATTGGCCCTAACTTCTCCCAGACAACAATGATAAAGGATGAAAGGTTTCTTAAGTGTGACAAGACTAACAAGGTGTAGAAAAGAACCTCCTGTTCACCCTTATAGGCAAACAGACACTGTTTGCTCTCTGTCACACACTCCCAAGGTTTCACAGTGATAAGGTCTATCGAAGAGTCTGATAAGTTCTTTGATGATTCGCTTACAATTACATCTTCCCCCACAAATGAGAATATATTCTTTTTACACTGAACTTTCAGGATGCTTCACCAGTCACCCTTCCTAAAATGCATGGAAAATTCACCATTAAATGCAATTCACTACTATATACGAATATGACATCTGCTGCCGAAGAATCACAGAATAACAGAATTGTAAGGGCTGGAAAGGACCTCTAGAGATCATCGAGTCCAGCCCCCCTGCAAAGCAGGCCCCCTGCAGCAGGCGAAGCTATTTGGTTCTGGTCTTCTTAAAACTGACTGCATAATGGCAGTCCCATAGCAATTCTGCCCCAGAGGTCAGATTTAATGTTTGCTCAAAATGTTTCTTTCACTTAGTTCCATCACAGTATAGAAATGAATGTTACACTTGTGTACCACAAATTTACAGTCTTAACATATTTGGATCATACAGGACCAGAGATCTCCTTGGCCTCAATTCTCCATCTTCCTTCCCAATCTGCAGACTTTGGTTTATGCTGATGTAACTGTTCTGTTAAATCATCAGCTCATGTAATGTAGGTGACTGCATTCTTTTGCTAAGGAACTATGTTTTCTTCCTTTGACTGGAAAGTAAGGTTTACCTCACTGTGCTGTTTATACTTAGAAACAGTGAAATGGGTGGCTTAACAAGGGAATAACTTGACCTGCTAGGGTGAAACCTGCAAACTTCTGTGTCAAAGCTGCCTTCCAGCTTTTTCAAAGGAAGCCCTTTTCGTATGTTGTTGAATGGATGAGACCCTGAGGATACTGTAAAAGCACAGCTTTGAGTTGTAGGCTGTATTTAAGAGGGTTCTTGAGACCCCTTCCAACCATAAGTATTCTATCATTCTGCTTCTTCTAAAATATTTAGCAGCATTTACAGCATAACTTATAAAAGTAAAGGACAGGAAAGGTAAAAACACTTCATGTACTTTATTTCCTATTTTGCACTTGAGTTACTGCTTAGGACTTTGTCTCACTGTAGCGAGAAGAGTTTGCCTGTCAGAAAGATATGCATTAGCATTGCTGCTGCATGCTTAGGCTATTTGCCAAGTCATAGGAGGAATAAAATACATATAGGCCATAATCAGGTATATTCTCAAAGAATATATGTTGTCAGAGACAACAGCCTACCCTTCTTGATACTATCTTGAGTTCGGAATGTCTTAGCAAAATGTGTAGGACATAACAATACTACTTTTTTCAGTGAAGTTAAAGTGTACTGGTATAAATGAAGCAAGCATATTAACTAGATACTGTAGGTTAAAATATGACTTCCAAAAAAGTGCATGACTTGGAGAAAGCTATAAATAAACAGGGTAGATTTTTTCAAACAGTAGAAGCTTCTTTTTTAACTATGCAAAGTACCTCTTACTGCAGAAGATCTCTCTTCACAAGCAGTGTGTTCCCTGTTTAAAGTAGTAAGTTAAAAGAGAAAAAAACCTTTGGTCACAGAAACAATATTTTCTTTCTGCCTTCTTCATAGCTGAATAACTTATAATCCCTGATGATCTCTTTTCGTACACTCGGTTTTGTTCTATATGATGAAAGAGAGAATCTCAAATCGTAAAATATTTACAACAGTGTAACAGTTCTGAGACTGGCTACTGAGCTTTTCAGATTCCTGATAAGAATTCGTTCTTCAAACGTGTTGAAGCTGTTATATGAACATATCCCACTTTTACTAACACTTGTTTATAAATTAGTTTTCCAAAGCCTTCTAATTTATCCATAGTATTTGCCTTTGAAACTAGAACATTTCATTTGATTGATTTTATGGGTTGCTTTTTAGCCCAGAAAAAAAGCCAGTGTGATATTACTGAATGTGAAGGATCTTTTTGAATGTCTTCTTGAAATTCTCATTACAAAGAGGATACAGGAATGGATTTAAGGTGGAATTCACATAGCCGAGCCATGTAGTGAACATATGTAGATTGTGAAAGTATTTATGGCGTTGGAAAACCACGTATAACACAAAATAGGGAATCCAGCACAGCATAAAGGCTGCCATTATGACCCCTAACTGCTTAGCTGCTTTCCACTCCCTGCTCACTTGCTGTCTTCGAAGATGACTTCTGGAATGAGTATGTAGGGTTTGCCAGGTTCTCCTCAGGTAAGTCAGTCCTCTGAAATCCCTATTCTCTGTATTTTCCTGAGGAATGCAGGCTCGATCAGGACTAGGATTGGATTGCTCTCCAGAAGGTACGTTCTCTGTGAAAGTATCACTGTCTGATGCAGCACTTAAGTCACTGTCCTGTGGGTGAGGTTCCTCTTCATTTTTATTGTCCTTTTTTACACACATACTCTTTCCTGCTTTATCCAGATCTGGCTCAGACTGGACAGTGGTGAGAGGCAAACAACTAGATTTAAAGGCTTTCCTGTTACTGCTGCTAACAAAAGCCTTTGAAGACTCATCATCATTACTGAAAAGAGGTTTTGCTGCCGTACTTCTGCACTCAGAGGACATTTGCTTGTCTTTATGAGCTGTGTTTTCATGTAAGCTTTGCTTTTGGAGGCAAATATTTTGCTTGTCCTTTGCCTTAGCATGAATTACATTTCTGTTTTCAGAGAAAGAGCAGTATGATCCATTGACGACTTCTCGCTGTTGGCAGTGTTTTCGAACAGCTCTGAATATTTTACAGTAGAGACATAACATTATGATAGAGGGCAGATAGAAATTGATAATGGCTGTCAACACTTTGAACCAAATGACACAAGAGAATTCTGTTTCGCAGTTTTCCTCTCCTTCCCCTTTCTTATCATTAGCAGAATCATGCCACCATAGGATTGGGATGACCCATAAGGAAGAAAGCAACCAAGCTCCCAAAATCACCAGTGATGCTCTCATTTTTGTTCTATACTGGAGATATTTCAGTGGGTGTTGAATTGAACGGTAACGGTCTAAGCATAATATGAAGAGACTGAAAATTGATGCAGTACTGGCCACATAATCCATTGACAGCCAGAACAAACATGCTGTTACGCCCAGAGTCCACGCATGGTTTAGGAGATAAACAATATTAAGGGGCATAACAGCTGCACCAACGATAAGATCTGCAATAGAGAGGCTAACAATGTATAAATTGCCAACTGTTTGCAGCTTCTTCTCAGTTTTCACAGCATATAATACTAATATATTCATGACAACAGTGATCAATGAAATGCTAGCCAGGAAAAAACCTAGAAGAGCTGAGTAAGTGTAATTTGAGTTCTCTGTTGTGTTTTTTGACATCTTTTTTACAAGAGCAGAGAATGAAAATCAGAGAAGATATCCCAGACTTGGAAACTCAATCTTCATTTACACTCCTGGATGAAAATGTGTTGGGTTGCTTTGTAATTTTTAATGCTGGAACTCTGGAAAAGAAAAGAAATACGCTCAATCTCTGTTGTCCTTGTCATTTTCCCTTTTAGGTCTTTCCTACACAACATATTTCTACAATATTTTACATAATGAGTAATTTAAAATGTAAAATGTCCTATGAAAATTACTGAAGTTTAATGTGCATCTAAAATGCTTTATTGTGTGGAGAAATTCTTATGTGAACAGAAAATAGTGGCAATAGTTGGATTCAATTGTATAAACATAAAACCAATGTATTTCCTAACTAATTTCCATAGATGAGCAAATAATTTTATACTAATCAATACTTTTAATATGAAGAGACCATACCAGAATAGAAGCTAGAAAACAAAACCAAATTCAGACCTGTGAAGTTTGGTTTGGCTTATATAGAATGGCTTGAAATGCTCTGCCAAAATTCTATAACTGCTCAAAAGTTAATGAGTAATAGTGAAGGAGCAAAGTATTTTATTCTATAAAGAATGGTTACAATTTCTGGCATGCAAGCCTTATTCTGTACATGCTCGTGCCTATAAACAGTTTATCAGCGCTTTCACATATGTGTAAGTCCCTTAAATTTTTTCCCTGGTGTACTGTATGTACCTGGTGTATGGGACATACTTAATAGCAAGTCATATTTTTTCTTTCTCTTAAAAATTCAGAGTGTTGAAAGCCTACAAGAATTGAAGTTTTTACAGAGGCTTACCCAGTATCTAATTCATTACCTTGTTCTGGGCTCTTAACTTCGTTTTGGATTTTTGATTTAACTTAGGATTGACTTTTGAAAGCATTATTTCTCCATGCATAATTAAGGACAGAGCATATATGTCTTTGCTATCTCTGGAGTTGGTATATTCCAAAACACATTCTGCTTATCTGAATTCTCATTTTGTTCAGTACTGATGCATATAAAACCATATATTGTAATGCCTAGAGATATATTTTAATAGTTGAAAACAGGGGAAGAGTATAGGAGTGTATTTTCCTGTGCATTTCCTGTGATGTATTGTCTTAATGCCACAGCCGCTATATTCTCCTTTTTCACCCTAGCTTCCCTGAGCTTCAGCAATCTTTCCTGATCCTCCTTACTTGCTTTTTTTGGAGAAGGGAAAATAAGTAATACTGGCCTGTACAGTTAATGAGAGCTACAGGAATAGTATCAGGAACTAATTACTAAACATCTCCTGGCATTCAATTACTGACAAAAACTTGGCTAGGGAAACATTACTTATTCAAAAAGAAAAAATGCCTGGATGTGGTTCGTAGTCTGGAGACCCTTAATTTGCAGGAAAACAGTTGCAGGCTCATTACTTACCAGGAGAACCAGTGAATACAGTGGCTTCTGTGCTGTTGACATAGGAACATTCTGAAAACAATTTAGAACAAGAAAAAAACAAAGAAATCATCCCTGGAGATGCTTAGCTGAACAAAAGGAGGTGGGGAAACTCAAGCACACCAGTATTGTTTTTCAGAGAATGATTCTTGAATTGACAAATGAAATGGTGAATTTGTGCATAGCATATAAAATTGAAAGCAATCAAGTTATTTTTAACATTATAATCAAACATCTAAAATGATTCATGTCCTTTGATGCAGTAAGTTAAGCACATGAGCAAACACCCAATCAGCAGCCTAAAAATCTCATCTAACCTGGTATCAATCAATACCTTGCTGTATGCAGCTAGGTTACCACTGGAGTCTATTCAACAGAAGTCCATTGGTAGTCTGGACGTTCTTATTTTATACCACCTCCAGCTCCATAATGCTGCTGTCTTCTGATGACTAACAATTCAGTTTTATATTCTAAAACTGAACTTTCCTAAATATAAGTAGTTGATGTATACATGCGTTCAGTAGACTAATCAACTACTTATTTTCTAGATACTACTATACTACAAAACATATTTCTTCAGGGAAAAAAAGAAGAAGAATGTATTATTTTTAAAGTCTATGTTGATAAGTTGAAATTATCAGAAGATGATAGATTTTTCCAGTTTTAGCTGGCATTCTTGATCAATCCTCTTTATCAGTGGGCCTATATTTCACTGCAAACTTTGAAACCAGAAGAGCTAACTGAATTAAGTTAACTGAATTGGGTTTGGATAAAGGAAGCTCTACTGTCTGATACACAACGTTAGCCGCTTGTGAAGACTCTATGAATAGACATCTATGAATAATTTCTTGAGTTCTGAGGAAATGCCAGAAAGGAGGAGAAAACTGATTTATGAGGAAGTCGCTAAACTCCAACAAGATATTTACTGGAACTAGATCCTTTGAGGCATTCTCTCTTTTCTCTAGCTCTTACTATACATAGCAAAGGACTAATGTTGCTCTTTTTCAAGAAAAGTCTTAGAATTCCTCTCTAATCAGAGCTAGGGTGTAGTTGGGATAAGTGCAGACAAGAGTCAAGTTTGTGATCATACCAATATTGCAATTCATAATAGGAAATGTCTTTATAGTACATGTAATTCATTTTATTTTATTTAAAGAAGGGCTCGGAATAGTGACTTTAACAGTTTTTATAAAAGAGACTGAATCCTTTAGGGCATCAGATGAAAAATGTGAATTTTCCTCCTACCGCCTCCTCTGCACCATCCGCCCCTCCCTCCCCCTCCCAAAATATTTAGTGATTCACCAAAATGATTTTAAATTGCAACTCAAGTGAACTTTTAGTGCTTTTAAGCTAAAACCTATTACTGAAAGGCTAAGTTTCAGCTTGCTTGGGTACCTTTATATACCAATTCGGGGAGGGGGGGAAAGAATAGGGAAGGGAGGGTAGAGAAGTCTCCAATTCAGAATAGATATTGAGCTGTTAATCTTTTTAAACATCTTCTAACCTTACTATAGTAATATATGAAGGAATTCATTGTTTTAGCAATAACCCATTTAACATTCAAAGTCATCCCTTTTCCTTGTTTGGGGGATGGGGGGCAGTGATGCATATAGTGCACTGAGTTCAGCTACCTCCCACTCTTCTTTGGACATAATTTGCTTACTAGATCTTATACAGATAGTTAAAATGAACTGGTGGAGCCCAAGGCCTCTTAATGCTAGGGAAACTGGTGTCTTGCAAATAAACGTAATAAATGAGGAGCAGCTCATCTGAGAAGCCCAATTCCTCTCCATCATTCCCGCTCAGTGTCTGCACAGGAAGGGCTGGGGAGACAAAATGGGCAGCTGCTTACAGTACAGGTTTGCAGTAAGTTATGGCCCCAATGCTCCCCCACTTCCATTGTCCCCCCCGGACACGGACACTCTGGATGCAAAATAACGTATCTAGAATTTTTCCCTGAAAAAGTTTGATTGCTGCCAGAAAGTTGTGGGATGTAACACTGAGGAACAAACTGCTCTTCATCCGGCTGGCAGCTGATGGCAAACGAAGAGCCGGCTGATCTGCCGGTATTGCTGCCTGCTTTTCTGCTCGAAAAAGATAAAAATCGGTTTGTGTGCGCTATAGCGGCGTACAGCCTGGATACTGCTCGTACGGGAACCCAGGCGCTGCCCGGGGACTCCGGGCTGTCCAGGCTGCAGTGCTGAGGGAGGAACGCCACCAGCTGCCGGCTGGGATGATGGGATAAGGAGTAGCCACTTCAGCGAAGTGCCTCGAGAAGGGTAGTTAAAGATCCAGAGTGGCGGCACGTGTTTTGGTGGCTTTCTTTGGCTGAGGAGACGCGACCTGCCCGCTGCTCCTCCTAGCGCTACTGCAATCCCTTCCCCTCGGCCCCGAGCGCAGGGTGCCGCCGCTCCCTTCTCCCCCGCCCGCTGCCGTGCCCTGGTTCACTCACCGCAAGGCCAGACGGGGAGGGGGCTCCCCTTTTTCCTCCTTTCCTTGCCGCGCTCCTTGGGTGGGATGCTCTGTCCCGCCCCGGGGGTGCGGAGCTGACAGAGTCCTTCCTACTGCGGAGCAAGGCTCGCCCTTCCTCAGGACCGGTGCAGCCCAAGGAGAGCTTGGCTCTGCCCGCCCCCGCTCGGAAGGGTAGCGATCCGGCGCTGCAGCTCTGCTCGGTACGGCATTTCCCTCCTCGACCGAGTGCCGGCCGAGGGCGCTGGTACCCCGAGAAATAGCCCGGCGTAGGGTCCGCCCAGCCGGGAGCGGGCGGTAAGGCGTCGTTGCCAGGAATTCGCACCGTACCGAGAACAAATTGATTCTAGTTCGCCGTGTCTTTCTGGACGATGAAAGCACGAGGAAAGCCTTGCCCAAGGCGGGCAGCGGGACGTCGGTGCGATCGATGTATCCCACCCCGAGAAGGGCAGACGAAACCCTGGCCACTTGTATTGTGCTCTCGAGAAGACGTTAGTACCAGACGTATCCTGAAGACCCTTGCTGGTAGGTTTGAATCCCAGAGTATAAGCGGAGATTGAGAGGCGTTTTGTCTACGGTGGTCTACAGTGGGAAGGAAGGCTGCTCTTAGAGATGAAGAGATTCATTTGTCTGAAGTAATGCCAGCACTCTGGAGAAACAGAAATCAAATCCATGTTTGCAGTCACTCTCGTGCTTGCTTTAGCCACAGTGTCATCGCTCTCCCTTGAGAACCAGTGCATGTTAAGTAGCTCACAATGGGACAGTCTGCTTTGAGAGCAACAGTTTAAGACCTGAAAAATCTATATTTAGAACACATTATTGCATATCTTAGCTGGCCTGACTTTTCTGTGACTTTCATGTGTCCACTATATCTGTTTTGTATAAATAATACACATCATCTTTCTTTTTTCCTTCCCTCTCTCTCAACCCGCGGAAGGTAAATTATCCACTTCCACTCTTCTTTAAAAGTGTGCTATTTTTCCTCACTTTTTTATTTTCCTGTTTATGATTGTATTGCACAAAAAAACTGTATAGATCCAGAAGGAACATTTTATTGTATCTTGAGTAAGTCATAAAGAATTCATGCAATGATGTTTTTGCAAACAGCATTGTTAGGCACTTAGTAACTGTTTTGTCTGTAGAACTGGTGAAGAGTGCTGTTAATTTTGCAGTCCCCACCACCAGTAAAACAGCAGGAAATACCC